TTTTTTAATTTTTAATTAAAAACAATTTTTTTTTGTAGAGATGAGATTTATGTTGCCCAGGCTGGTCTTGAACTCCTGGGGCTCAAGCAATTCTTCTGCCTCAGCCTCTCACAGTACTAGGATTACAGGGGTGAGCCACTGGATTCTGCCTATTTCTGGAATAAAACAAATTTTTTTATAGATGGCATCTTGCTATACTGCCCAGGCTGGTCTCAAACTCTTTGGTTCAAGTGATTCTCCTGCCTTGGCCTCCTGAAGTACTGGGATCACAGGCATGAGCCATCATACCCAGGCTATTTTCAGAATTTTGCTTTAATATGATAAGCACTTTTTTTTTTTTTTTTTTTTTTGAGTAGGAGTCTCACTCTGTCACCCAGACTGGAGTACAGTGGCACGCTCCCGGCCACCGCAGCCTCGATCTGCTGGGCTCCAGCGATCCTTCCACCTCAGCCTTCCAAATTTCAGACCTTGTCTCTAAAATAAATCAAGAAAATTTAGCTGGAACTACAGGTGTGAGCTATCATGCCTGGTTAATTTTTGATTTATTGTAGAGATGTGGTGTCACCAAGTTGCCTAGGCAGGTCTCGAACACGCGGGCTCAGGCAATCCACTCACCTCAGCCTCCCAAAGTGCTGGAATTACAGGCTGAGCCACCGAGCCCGGTGAGCATTTTTTTTTTTTGAGTAGGAGTCTCACTCTTTTGCCCAGGCTCGAGTGCAGTGGCACACTCGGGCCACTGCAGCCTCAACCTGCTGAGCTCGGGTGATCCTTCCACCTCAGCTTTCCAAATAGCTGGAACCACAAGCATGTGCCACTACACTCGGCTAAATTTTCTTGATTTATTTTAGAGACAAGGTGTGACCAAGTTACCCAGTCTGGTCTCAAACCCCCGGGTTCAGGCAATCCTCTTGCCTCCACCTCCCAAAGTGCTGAAATTACAGGTGTGAGCCACGGCACCCAGCCTGTAAGTACTCTTAATACATAACTCTGGTTGCACTTATTATTTTCTTAGGATAAATGCCTAGAAAAAGAATGATAAGTGAATAGATAGAAACATTTTAGAGTGGTCAAATCATTCTCTAGGAGTTTACATTCCCATTAGCAGTGTTTTCTTTGCACCCTTGCCAATATGAGGTTTTGAAAAGCTTTCAAAAATACTAACCACTTCTCAATAGCTCTTTTCAAGTTACTCGAGTTCTTCCCCAGAAAATAACGATTATGGGTTTGTGCTGATTTCCTGCTGATTAGCCCTGTTAACCTCACCTCAGAAATGAGCAGTTCACCTAAGATGTAGGGCAATATAGACCAAATGCTTTGGGGAAAAACAGTAATTTTGACTGGTAGTGCCTCTCCCTGGGGAAACTGAATTCTTAGAAAAGAAGCAAATCCAACAGGTCTTGGGGCAGCTTCATGGTGGTAGCAAGAGCATGGGCTTTGAGTCAGACAGATCTGGGTACTAAATTGGCTCAGTTACTAACTGTATGATACTGGACAACTTTCTTATTCTTCTACCTTCAGTTTTCTCATTTGAAAAGCAAGGAGAATAACACCTATCATACAATATGATTATGATTAGTGGAACTGGCACATCATAGTTCGATAAACTTTAGTTGCACCTCTGAGGATCAAATGAAAAAAATAGGAAAGAGGACACTTACCTTTTCTGCAAAGGTGAAAATCTTTCTCTGATCAACACCTCCAAACTGGGCATCTACTTTTAAATACTCTTCATCCAAAGCCTGTGGAAAGAAACACATGAGCATAAACACTTAGTGTATTTCTTCTATTGGTTCTGAGAAATGAGAAACTTTGGAAAATTATTAGACTTTTCATAAAGTAGAGCCAGGAAGAAAATAAACATCTTTCAGCCTCCCTGTTGGCCTCAGAAGCTGCATAGACAGTTGCTGAGTGGCTACAGTGAACACTACTCTATGTGGGTATCAAAAGGTAAAAAAAAAACAAGAGTAGTCTCTGCCCTCAGGATGCTTATAATCCAGTGTGAACAGAGAAGAGGGAGAAGACAAACCATTGTCATATCAAAGGTACCCCACTGAATAAGGTAGTCTGGACAAATGTCAAATAAGTAGCACAAAGAAGTCCTGTGAGAGTTCAGAAAAAAGCTAAAACTGAACTAGTACACAGTGATAAATGTCTGTCACTTGTGACATGCCAGGCCTGGTGCCAGCTCTGTGGATGCAGATAAATGAGACTCTCCCTTCAGAAGCCCAATTATCCAGTTAGGAAGAGACATGCAAACAGATCATTTCAGTACAGTGTGCTGAAGGGTAAACTCAGACCTGCATATAAGAAACAGTGTTGGCTGGGCTCGGTGGCTCTGCCTGTAATCCCAGCACTTTGGGAGGCTGAGACGAGTAGATTGCCTGAGCCCAGGGGTTCAAGACCAGCCTGGGCAACTTGGTGAGACCTCGTCTCTATAATAAATAAAAAATTAGCCAGGTATGGTAGTGTGCACCTGTAGTTCCGGCTATTTGGAAGGTTAAGGTGGATGGAAGGATCGCCAAAGCCCAGCAGGTCAACGCTGGGGTGGCCGTGAGCGTGCCATTGTACTCCCCAGCCTGGGCGATGGAGTGAGACTCCAACTCAAAAAAATAAAAAATAAAGAAACACTGTTGATACAAAGAGAGAAATTATCTCTACCTAGTAAGTGGGGTGCAGAGAAGTCTTCTCAGAATCACACTGTGGGCTGAGCTTGGTTTTGAAGAACATATAGATGTTTTTCACCATGCAGAGGAAACAATGTGAGAAGCACAGAGGTGTGAAGTGTTTAGGGAAATTATGAATGATTGAGTCTGCAAAAGCATAAACTTCAAGGGATGTAGGCAGTGGTGAATGATGAGGTTAGAAAAGTAGGTTAGGGCCATGAAATGTAATGTCAGGGCACCAAGTGTTATCCTGGCCATAGTGAATGGTTTTAAGGAGGGGAGAAATATGACAGAGCTGTAGAAAGATCACACCAGTAACAGGGCAGGGCATGGAGTGGAGGCTTGTGGGTTGAAGACAAAGACAATAGCTAGAAGGGTGTTCTGAGAACGTAGGTGGAAATAATGATGAACCAAAGGCAGTGAGGATACAGAGTAAGAAGGAACTTAAGAGATTTTTTAAAAGTATAATAAAATTGAGTGCATGATTGGCTGGGGGAAAGAGGGAGAGGGGGAGGAAGAGAAGGTTGAACAAGAAGGAACAATCTAGAATGGCATTATCCAATACAACTTTCTCTGGTGATAAATATGTTCTTTGTCTGTATTGTCAAATATAATAGCCAACTGAGAACTTGAAATACAGGCAATGTGGCTGAAGAACAAAAATTTTAACTTTTATTTAATTTTAATTACTTTTTTTTTTTTGAGTTGGGATCTCATTCTGTTACCCAGACTGGAGTGCAATGGCATGATTATGGCTACCGCAGCCTTGACCTGCTGGACTCAGGCATTCCTTTCACCTAAGTCTCCTGAGTAGTTAGAACAGGTACACGCTATCACACTCAGCTAATTTTTTGATTTTCTGTAGAGAGAAGGTTTTGCCATGTTGCCCAGGCTGGTTAATTACTTTTAATAGCCACATATAGGCTGGGCGTGGTGGCTCACGCCTATAATCCCAGCACTTTGGGAGGCTGAGGTAAGAGGATTGCCTGAGCCCACTGGATCAAGACCAGCCTGGGCAACTTGGTGAGACCTCATTTCTACAATAAATCAAGAAATTAGCCAAGTGTGGTGGTGCATGCCTATAGTCCCAGCTACCTGAAGGCTGAGGTGGAAGGACTGCCTGAGCCCAGCAGTTCGAGACTGCAGTGGCTGTGAGTGTACCATTGCAATCCAGCCTGGGTGACAGAGTAGCATGCCAACTCAAAAAAA